GTATGTAACCTGAAGCGTATGTAACCCGAGGTACCACTGTATTGCTTTTTATATGATTTTTTTTGTCTCAGGTTGATATACAATAACCAAAAGCAAGCAAGCAAACACTTTTAAAACCATGCAAACTAGACATTTGTTGTAAATATTCATTTATCTAGCTGGAAAAGCCTATTGGAATAAATTTATATTCAGTTGTTTCCACGAAGAAGGCTAACTTAAGCACTTAGCTTCCTGAGTCTCTGCTACCCAGGCCTTCTGTGATGTCACAACAGCTGAGCCAATGGTGGCCAGACATCATGGCTACATCAGCTGATGGTATTACCAGTGGTGTGGCAGGCAGCAAAGTCAGAAGTAAAAGAACATGCTAGCTGGGCTGATGGGAGTTGAAGTCCCAAAGATCTGGAGGATTCCAGGTTGAGCAAGACTGGTAAACCTAATGATAAATGGATGTTTAAAACAGTTTCTTGTAGATTTACCAGATTATCTAGCTGCTAGGAATGGGAGATAAATTCAGTTAAATTTGCACTGACTGGCAAATGTACCTACTTCACACTTTCTGAAATTATCTGAGAAACAAAACATCCTGAATTTCCTTCTGCCCATATTTAATGAAGGTCATATTTTTGTAATAGCTGCATAAAACGGGCCATATGTGAAATTTGCTGCCTTGCTGATTTTAATTTTCCATTAAATTCAATTCCAATTTACATCTCCCCCAAGTATAATCTCTGCTTAAGTAAACTTCCCCTATTTCTTAAGCCCTTTATGAAGAAAATTGAGCTGTCTCTTCACTCGGTGCCTATAGCCACAGTAACGTGACCATTGTGTGTTTTTCCAGGACTTCTTCAACAAATAGGCGTTGGCCATTTTTATCTCAATAATTCTCCCCCCCCCCGCCCCCCAAGTCTAAATCTGCACCTATTAGTATTGCCACACCCATATTGTATTTGAGGCAAGGACAATATTTACCAATTCTTTTGTTAGTAAAGATGTTATTTAAGATGTTCATTCTTTAATAAACATCTCTAACTATTTGGTCTATTTCCGAGTCTTTATCACTTTAAGCCTTGCTGCATGTCTGTACTGTATCTGTGGAATGTTTAAACTCTAAGCATCCAATGTTTTTCGATGCCAGTCATATCTATTTGGAAGAGCTCTGAGACTCGAAATTCCATTTCCCCCCTAATCCTAGCTGTTGGAGGGCTTACTACTTATCAGCCTTCTTCCTCCTCCAAATCACCATCATTGTCTTCTTTGCCTAGGCCCCCAGCCCTTATTCCTTCAGGTAGTTCCGAGTGCAGAATCTATACTTGGTTGCTGTGTGAGTGGCACCTTTGTGGGGCACCACTAAATGAAAGAGAAATCCCTAGTAATATCAGTACCCCACTTCCTGGAGCTTTAAAGTAATAGACACCTGTAATGTTTCTGGGGCTATGTCTGGGGCAGTTTCAGGTTTTTCCCTATTTTGGTTTTACCCCCTCCCCCCAGCTTCATTTTTGATAAGGTGGCACAGCAGTCTATTAATTCTTGTTTGAAAGTCTTAAACTTCTGTGCCATCTCCTCCTTCATAGCTGATTTCAAGGCCGCTGAGGTTACTGGCGTGTCCTCATTCATTTCTTGTGGCTGATCCAGCTGGGTGTTCTGACGCCATTTTAGATGCTGCGGCATCACCCTCAGGCCCCGAGTGACGTTCTTTGTATATCATCGCAAAATGGACTCAAATGTTATGCTTCTTAGATTTGCTTGGTCCCTACAGCATACCCCGTTCTATAGACAAGATTCAGGGATGATTTTCATAGACAACGGAGCTATCAGTCTACGCCACCATCTTGTTGGTGGTCAAGCTCTTTCCCTTTCAGGAGGATTCTTTAAATAAATAAAAATGTGGAATTGTTGAGAACAAAAGAACTGAAAAATGAGAAACTTAAGAGAAACAAAAATTGACAAGTTCACCCATCCCTTCTAGCTATTGATTAAAATGGACCAAATCAATGCACAAGCCAGGGAAAAGTATAAATTTCCTATCTAAACATAGCCTTTTCCTACCAGGTTTGATTGCTGTGCATGTAGAAGTTCATTTTCACCCATTACATGAAGGTGAAGGGACACCCCAGGTGAAATTATGCCTAAAGGACAAAGCCCTAACCTGATATGCAATGGTGTCAATCTATAATGACCCAATTTTGGTTGGTGAAGGAAGCATGGATTTATATTTGAGCAAAGGAAATGAGTCAAAATCATTTTCTCTCTCCCTCTCCCTCTCTCTCTCTCTCTCTTTGTTAAATGCCTAGGCAAATTTCTTTGAGGTGGTTTCCCTTAAATCTCTCTGTGTTTTTCCCCCTTTTAAATACAAAAAATACCATTTGATTTTCCTGGACGCTAACCTAGACAGCTGATAGATTTTCCCTCATTACATGTGACAGGTAACCCCCCACCCCACCCCAATCAAGTGGCCTTCAGAATATTTTTTCATTTGCACAAGAGAGAGCCTAAGTTCACTTACACACACACACACTCTGTCCTGGAAGCAAGAGCACATTCTATCATTCTCCATTCCAGTACTCCTCCCCAGGGTAAAATTGGACAGAGTACATTTAAATGTCACTCAAACCCCCCTCTTTTTTCCACTCAGTTTTAACCATATGGGTTAATTTTACCCTCTCTCTAATTCCCCTATTATTACACATTCTTTAAGTATTTTTTTAAGTATTATGAGGAGATTCAACACATGTTGAGGATTTCCCCCTTCAATTAATGGGAGAAAGGGAGGCTGTTAGGTCTCTTTTTGCAATGTTTCAGAGGGAGGGGTTCAAGAGAAAGGGTCTTTCATTGGGGATTGAAAAACATCTCATGGCAAAGGTCAGCAGGGTAACAGGAAAATGATTTGTGTTTGCTCTCTGAAGTGGTGCATCAAGAAAGAGTCCAGAAATGCTTGCAACTTTTGTTTAAAAAGCAAAATAAAATTGCATACTCCACCAAACATGCTGTTTTTAAAAGTATGTCCCATTCTTTTCCATTATTTGATTAAAGTTAGTTGAGGCCCTAAAGCAGTAATAATTTTGAGGATCCCTGCTCCACCATTAATACTTATTTTGCATTTAGGAAACCCAACCAGATGGTGGAGTATTATTAGTATTAGCATTAGCATATAATAATAATAATAATAATAATAATAATAATAATAATAATATTTCTTTCTTGCTTTTTCATCCCCAAAATGGATACTCAAAACAGCTGGTAAAATTTACATTATGTGGTCTGCCACTTTAGAGCAGCTGTGGGCAAATTTCAGGTTTGTGGCATCTACTTTGTAGTTTGTCACATGGAGAAGCCAAGTGCAAAATATTGGTGGGACTGGAGCCAAAAGCAATGTTATGTACTGAGTTGAATAGGATCCAAACTGCAGCAGTCTGATTGGTCCTAGAACAATAGGATCCAAAAGGCAACAGTCTGATTGGTCCTAGAACAATAGGCTTCAGAATGCAGCAGTCTGATAGGTCCTAGAACAATGCAGCAGTATGATTGGTTGGCAGGAACTACCCAATCATGCTCCAGATAGAAGTGAATCCACAACCTGATTGGCTTACAGTAGAATTCTGGAATTAGCCAATCATGTGCAGCCCATTGTGTAAATAATGTATATAAAGCAGATACTGAGGGGACATTCATTCATTCCTCCTCACCACTATGAGCTGAATAAAGAGCATGAAATCACTTTGCGACTCTGAGTATATTTCACTGGCGACGAAGGTGGGATCCCGCTGAGCTGACTGCCACACACAGCACCGCAGCACCGCCACCTGCCGCACCGCTGCCTCGCACCGTGTATCCAGGCTTCAGCTGCGGGACACAAGGAACTCAGAATGGCAACCGACAACAGCTTCTCGCCATTCAACCCAGCATCTGGAGACTGGGAAGCGTACGCCTCCCATTTCACCTTCCTCCTAGAAGCCAAAGGGGTCACCGACGAAGAAGACACCAAGAAGAGGGCGATATTCTTCAGCGTCTGCAGAGAAGAGACGTTTGAAATCGCCCGGGCTCTCCTTGCGCCTGAAGACGTCGCTACTGTTCCATACAAAACAATAATGGAACAGCTGAAGGGGCACTTTTCGCCACAGCCCTCAGTGGTGGCTCGTCGAAATGCCTTCTACACAAAGCGGCAAGCCCCTGGGGAAACCATAACTGGGTTTGTGACCTCTCTCCGCCAAGCTGCCCGGTTCTGCAACTTCTCAGAGCTGGAGAACATGCTTCGTGACCGCCTCGTCGGTGGCCTGAAGGATGAGAAGCTGCAACGACGCCTCTACGCTAAGAAGAACCTAACGTTCCAGGTCGCTCTGGAGGAGGCCCTGGCAACGGAAGCTGCCGAGAGGTCAACGCAAGAGGCACGGCCGAGCCAGCCGTCCCAACCGAGGGTCCACCACGAAGACCTCACCGACGACTCAGGATCCGACAGGGAGGAGGTGCACCGAGTACAGCAGCGCACTCAAGCAGCCCACACACCACAGCTGCCTCGACGAGAAGGAGGGAACTGCGCAAGCTGTGGAGAAAGTCACGAGAGGAGGACCTGCCGTTTCCGCAACGCAGAGTGCAGGCAGTGCAGAAAATCAGGACACATCGCCCGGGTGTGTCGGGCTCGGCCCACCCGACGCCAGGCATCAGATGACCAATCCAAGAGCCCCAGGTCCCGGGCCCCAACGCACCAAGGCAACTCGACGGAGCTCACGGACTTCCAGGTATACCAGTTGCCCCACCCCAACGTAGAGAAAATTTATGTAGAGGTACAGATAGAGGGGGCCCCATGCCGCATGGAGCTTGACACGGGTTCAACTCTATCCATAATCTCGGCAAGGACCTTAAGGAAACTGTGTCCTACTGGGGGTCCCAAACTCAGGCCAGCCCCATTCACCCTCCGGGACTTCCAGAAACGTAAGGTCCCCACAATGGGGGTGGGGACCTTCAGGGTGCAATACCGAGGGCGGACGCGGCAACTGGACTTGCTTGTGGTCAAGGGCCCCTACATTAGCTTACTGGGATTGGCATGGTTTGGACCACTGGGGCTAGCCATCACCGGGGTGAACCACATGAGCTTACAAGTGGACGTGGACGCCATATGCAAGGAATTTCCGGGGGTTTTCGATGGGAAATTGGGACAGTATACGGGGCCCCCCATTGCTCTACAGCTTGACCCCGCAGTACGACCGGTCAGGCTCAAGGCCCGCCGGGTACCGTTCGCCCTGAAACCCCGTATAGATGAGGAATTGGACCGACTCGTGGAGCAAGGAGTGCTGGAGCCGGTGCCTAATGCCCCCTGGGAAACCCCAATCGTCACACCCGTCAAGCCTAATGGTTCGGTCCGCATCTGCGCAGACTACAAATGTACCATAAACAAGGCCCTCACGGACCATGCATACCCAGTGCCAGTGGTCAGCCATGTCCTTGCCACCCTGGCTGGGTCGAAAATTTTTGGCAAGCTGGACTTGGCCCAAGCATATCAACAGCTGCCAGTAGATGAGGCCACAGCAGAGGCACAGACGATTGTGACGCACAGAGGAGCATTCAGGGTAAAGCAGCTGCAATTCGGTGTCAGCGTGGCACCAGGCATATTCCAGAATCTGATGGACTCTCTACTTAAAGGGATCCCTGGCGTCACCCCCTTCTTCAATGATGTGTTGATTGCTGGGCCCACACCAGAGGAGTTTGAGGACCGCCTCCGCACCGTTCTGCACCGTTTCCAGACGGCGGGTCTCAAGGTGAAGCGGGAAAAATGTCTACTAGGAGTGCCTCAGGTGGACTTTCTGGGATTTATGGTGGACGCAGAAGGGGTCCACCCAACTGGGGACAAGGTACGGGCCATTTGTGATGCCCCAGCGCCCAAGAACAAGACTGAACTTCAGGCCTTCTTGGGACTATTGAACTTTTACCATTCCTTCCTTCCCCACAAGGCAGCGGTAGCGGAGCCCCTACACAGACTCCTGGACAAGCGGGCCCCTTGGGTGTGGGGCCAGCGCCAGGAGGCCGCATTCCAGGCAGTCAAGGACTTGCTTGTCTCAAACTCGGTCTTGGCACACTTCGACGAGAGGCTGCCGGTGGTGCTAGCATGCGACGCCTCGCCCTATGGAATTGGCGCTGTCCTGGGACACCAACTCCCGGATGGAAGAGAGGTACCAGTGGCATACTTTTCCCAGACACTCAACGCAACCGAGCGGAACTACTCGCAAATCGACAAGGAGGGTCTGGCAATCGTGAAGGGAGTAAAAAAATTCCATGATTTCTTGTACGGGCGGCCCTTCACCATGGTGACTGACCACAAGCCGTTGCTTGGCTTGTTTGCCCCTGAAAAGCAGACCCCCCAAGTGCTGTCTCCTCGCGTCCTCAGGTGGTCAATTTTCCTTGCCAGCTACCAGTATGCACTGATTCACCGTCCGGGGAAGGCGATGGGCCATGCGGACGCCCTCAGCAGGCTACCACTACTGGAAACAGGCCCCGACCCAGCACCTGCACAAGAGGTTATGAGCCTGGAGCTGCTTCCCGACCGCCCCATTCAGGCACAAGAAGTTGCACACCATTCCAAGAAAGATAGGGTCATCTCCCGGGTCCTGGACTGGGTGTGGAGGGGATGGCCCAGCAGCAGCCCCGGGCCAGAATTCGCCGGCTACACAACCCGCAAACATGAACTGTCGGCCCACAAGGGGTGCCTGTTATGGGGAAGCAGGGTCGTTGTTCCCCAGCCCCTCCGCAAAAGGGTCCTCTCAGCCCTACACGAGACACACCCAGGGGTAGTAAGAATGAAGGCCCTTGCCAGGAGTTATGTGTGGTGGCCGGGGATCGACGGAGAGATAGAGGCCTGGGTCAAACACTGCCAGGCCTGCCAAGAATCCCGCCCAGATCCCCCAAGGGCCCCAGTCCAGTCCTGGGAGTCCGCCCGAGCACCATGGTCACGCCTGCATGTGGACTTCGCTGGCCCCTTTCAGGGGAAAACATTCTTCATAGTGGTGGACTCCTACACCAAATGGCTGGAAGTCGCACGGGTACCGTCCACTTCTACGTCCGCAGCCATCCGGGTACTACGCAGGCTGTTTGCAACCCACGGGCTCCCTGACACTCTCGTCTCAGACAACGGGACTGCATTCACGTCAGGAGAATTCCAAACCTTCACAGCGCAGAACGCCATCCGCCACATCCGTTCAGCGCCATTCCACCCTGCCACCAATGGCCAAGCAGAACGCATGGTGCGGACCACCAAGGACACCCTTCGCCGCATGACGCAAGGGGATTGGGAGTACCGCCTTGCCACATTCCTTCTAGCACAGCACAGCACCCCCAGCTCAATGACTGGCCGGAGCCCCGCTGAACTACTAATGGGTCGGCGCCTTGCAATCAGATTGGACCGCCTTCACCCCGATAGAGCTCAGGATGAGGTAGTGGTGGGGGAAGGCAAGAACCCCCGGACCTTCGCGGCTCAGGACCCAGTGTACGCAAAGAATTTTGGGGCAGGCCCAGCATGGGTACCCGCCACAGTCACCAGGGTCACTGGCCCCGTGTCATATGAGGTGCTAACGGATGGGGGGCAATGCTGGCGCCGCCACTGCGACCAGATACGGCGACGATTCCCGGGAGAAAACCAGGAGGAGGAAAGGGCAGAGGAGTCCCAAGGGAACAGAGGGGCAGTGAGGCCCATAGAGCACGAGGGGCCAGCAGGAGAGGCAGAAGCAGTAAATACAGAGAGGACCTGCGAGGCCGAAAGGACACCGGAACCAGAACCACAACTTAGCGAGCCGGTTGCGCCAAACCAAACAGCCCCATCACAGCCAGCATCCTTGGAACACGGGCCAGAACCTGAACCCCGGACCAGGGAACACCCTAGGCCGCAACGCACACGTAGGCCACCGGCGTACCTCAAGGACTATGAATGCGATCTCCCGGGCAGGACTGGAACTTAGAGGGGAGGGGTGTTATGTACTGAGTTGAATAGGATCCAAACTGCAGCAGTCTGATTGGTCCTAGAACAATAGGATCCAAAAGGCAACAGTCTGATTGGTCCTAGAACAATAGGCTTCAGAATGCAGCAGTCTGATAGGTCCTAGAACAATGCAGCAGTATGATTGGTTGGCAGGAACTACCCAATCATGCTCCAGATAGAAGTGAATCCACAACCTGATTGGCTTACAGTAGAATTCCGGAATTAGCCAATCATGTGCAGCCCATTGTGTAAATAATGTATATAAAGCAGATACTGAGGGGACATTCATTCATTCCTCCTCACCACTATGAGCTGAATAAAGAGCATGAAATCACTTTGCGACTCTGAGTATATTTCAAGCAAAAAATTAATAATTGTGACACGGGGGATGGAACCCATGACCAACACATCTGGCTGGTTAGAGTGCTCCTGTTAGGAGTTAAGGAAACACTGAAACATCTGCTTGAGATCCCTTTGGTTAAAATCAGTCCATATTCATACGGACCTGGAATCAACAGTTGGCATGGCTTCTGGGCTCAAGCTCTTGCATGGGGACCCAATACCTATCAGATCTAGCCGTGGGACCAATGCTATGTTGTGTTGTGATAAAAACAAACTGAAAAATGTACCCACCCAGCTACTAATTCCTCTTTATCTGGAAAGAGCTCGTATCTAAAAACAGTTTTAGGGATGGAAGAGGAAATCCTGGAATTTTAACATGAATGGCTAAATTTAAAGTGCATCCTATTGCAGTCTACTCAGTGGTAGTTCAGTAGGACTTACTTCCAGGTGCATAGGATTGCAGCATTAGATCCATCAATGGTTGGACGAATGCTTAATAATCCTGCTCATGGTTTCATCCAGTGCTCATTATTTGCTTACTTTTCTGAATAGCACCAAATAACAGATTATAATTAGGATTTCCATTTTTATTCATGGGTATAATATACTGGTGAGGGGTGCATGGTCAGAAGAAACATTTCCTGAGAACCTATCAGTGAAAATTACTCCCCTTTTTGTTCTGTTACCCCTACATGCTGTTGCTTCTGCAACATCCACCCCACCTCCCACCCTTTTCCTTTCCTCTTCCTGGTTTTGCCACATAGGAAATTCTAACCAACTGGGGATCACAGAATGAAGTGGATGACATCGTGCAGGTCTTCAGCCAACCGTGTTTGGCTATGCAACATAAAACCATCAGTGAGGACAAACAACATTAACTGAGAGTGAATGTATTGCTTCCTGGAATAGTCACACACAGAACCCCAATGAGTCAAGGATCATTGCAATGAATGGGATGTTTTCATTATACTATTTAGCCAGGTTTGGCTATGTGTCCGTATCACTGAGGCCAGATTAAGGGAAGGGAGAAAGAAATGAGGGCAATGTAGATGAATAGGAAGAGGGGGCAAGGGGGTGTTTTTTTCAACACTGTCCAAATGTTTTCCCCAAAATACTAAATAGTTATGGCATAACCTTAATTACAGTGCTCGTGAATTTATGGAGCAGGGGCTTATTAAAGTTCATTATGAGCCAGTTAAATTGGAGGATGAAATTATAGCTATCCTGTGGGACTTGACATTTGAGCACATAAAGGAAAAATAACTTGGGCATGACTGAGACTGGACTACTAGGGATGGTTACTGCCAAGTTTTTACTACCTTTAAAAAGAAATTAAAGCAAGCCCAGAATTCAGAGAACCACATGATGGGAGAGACACACGCAAGAGATCATTAGACATATATCAGTTTGTATTTTGACTCGTAGCCTGAAATTCAGTTTACATTTTTCCTAATCAATGAAGCTAATATTGCTTACAGCTCAGGCATATGCCTCTGCTCAGAAGCAAGTCCTGTTGATTTCAGTGGGGTTTGCTACCTCATCCGTGGGCAACGAGCTAAGGCTCAAATCTCCCATAAACAACAGTAATTACATGTGACAATAAATTGTGCCGCAATGAAACCAACCACCATTCCCGCCCCCAAATGGTAAAAACAGATCTGAAATGTTTCCCTGCTAAGAGTTCCTCAAACTGGAAGGAAGAATTTATGAAAGCTCCATGTTGGAACTGAAGGCAAGTTAGTATCAGATTTATAACTGCAGCGCTGTATACATCCAGGGCATTATGTCAGATGGAGATATAGAAGATAAAGGTATCAGGCGCCTGATGAAGTGCAGGTGACCAGTAACTCTGTACTGTAAGCTGAAAGTCATATGTCAATTCTTGCCTCTCTCTCTCTCTTTTTTGTTCTTGTTCAGTGGAAAAAAAGTAGCATTAGCAAGCCAAATGTTCCTCCATCAAAATCAAAGGTGCAATCTGTCAAATGCAGTTGCTATACAACAACCTTCAATGGGTTCTGCCAGGTCTGTATGGTGCAATTGGTTTCTGCAGTAGGCAATTTAAGATTAATGGATCTATCTCCCCACCCCTTCTGTTCCTTTATTTTATTTTATTTTTATTTTTAAATAATGTATATTAAAGATTTTCCTCATTTACAAAAGCACATGCATTGTCTCTTTCTTCAGGTTGTGTTTTCTATGGATCGGTTACATTTGTTGTGAGACATTGGTGTTATATGCAGTATAGGGTTGGGAAGGAAAGAGGGGGGATGGGAGAGAGGGAGTGGGGTGGTGAAGCTTATGTTCTTTTACTTAGCGTATATATGCGGGTTTTGTGTCAGTGTCACTTGGGTAGGTTGTCTTTCTATTCACTAGTTATGTTTCCTTGGTGGTAAGAGAGGTTGGGGTGGCCTGGGGTGTAGTTAATTGTCTTTGGTTGGCTGCAGTGGGATTTGTTTGTGCGTGGGGGGGGGGGTTGTTGGGTTAAGTTAGCCATACTGAATTGTATGCTGTCAGTGGGTTCATGCTGTTTGTTAAGTTGTGGGTGAACATATCAGACGACACAGCGATTCTTCAAACAGCTCTTGTTTATTCACAGGCCAGAACAGAACTGAACTGAAGGGTTCAGCCAGCCTGCTTATATAGAGCTCCACTAGAACACAACAGTAACCATTTTCTGTAACTTTCCAATCACTGAATGTCACTTTCGATCCCTTATTTGCATATGTGGACCTGAGTGAAAACTATCTACAGTATCCCCCTGCTGGCCCAGGGTGAGAACTTCAGTACATAACACTGTTGTCTTGTTGGGCTGTGTATGTGATAAAGGGGAGCCATGCTGGAGTGAAGGCATCCTCATCTATTTCTCCCCGTGTCAGTTTCAGTCTACTGGTTAGTAAGGCTGTTTCCCATACTACTTGATACCAGTGTTCCATGTTTATTCCTGACAAGTTCTTCCAGTGTCTGGCTATGCTGTTTCTGGCTGCTGAGAGAAGTGGGTTATGAGCTCTTTATAGGGTGAGTGGGCATTGTTATCTTGGAAGATGTTCAGTAGGGCCAGTTCTGGGGTGACTTCTAGTACCTGTTTAGTTATTTTGCTTATTTCTTATATGACTGTTGTCCAGAAGAGTTGGGTTTGGGGGCATTCCCACCACATGTGGACGTATGAGCCTGTGAAGGTGCAGCCTTGCCAGCATTTTGGTGAGGTTCCTGGGTGTATCAGCACCACTTTCCATGGTGTTAGGTATAATCTGTAAGTGAGTTTCAGAGTGAGTTCTTTTCTTTTCGCTGATATGGATTTTAAGGGAGGTTTAGACCACATTCTAATTCAATTGGTGGGGTTATTTTCATAGCCTATGTCATCCTCCCATTGTTTTTTGATTGCGTCAAGGGGTTTGGTGGGGGTGTTTCACAGCCGTGTTTTATATATTGTGGATACCATCCCCTTGCCACATCCTGTTGTTGTTAGGAGAAGGTTTTCAAAGGTGGTCAAGGGCCTAGTGGCTGTTGATTTTACCACTGGGATGTTTAAGAAGGCATGTAGTTGGTGGTGTGTTATTCAAGGTATTTGGGTGTCCCCTAGCTTGTTTTGTATTTCTTGTTTTGATATGGGTTTGCTATTTTTAGAAGTCTGCTAGGTGATATAGACCTTTGGTTTGCCAGGTTTTTATCTGGAGATTTTGTGCTGCATGGTGGAATAGTGGGTGGTGAGCAAGAGAGATTAGTGGGGATGGGGTTGGGGACAGTTTGCCTACTTCTTCCTTCCATGCTTTAAGCATGATCTGTGTGAACCTGTTTAGTGTTGTGGGAATTTTCCTTAGTTTGTTTTGGAGGAAAGTGCATGCTGGGGTGGGAGTGCTTTCGTTTATGTCTCTCTCCAAGTATTCCCATTGTTTTGTCTCATCTTCTAGAAAGTATGGATTATGTAGCACACTTGGTTGGCAATGTAGTATAGTTCTGTGTTGGGGATTTCACATCCTGAATAGGGGAGGTGCAGGTATTTGGGGCTTATTCTTGACTTTTCGTGTGAGAAGATAAATGAGTGTTGTTTTTTCTGCCATTTGTGGAGTTGCGTTGGTGGAATCCAGATTGGAAGGGTTTGGAATAGGTAGGTTAATTTTGGAAGGGTGGTAATTTTGATCATGCCTATTTTATCTGACCATAAAGAAGGCTGATCGCCGAAGAATTGATGCTTTTGAATTATGGTGCTGGAGAAGACTCTTGAGAGTCCCATGGACGGCAAGAAGATCAAATGCATCCATTCTTAAGGAAATCAGACCTGAGTGCTCACTGGAAGGACAGATCGTGAAGCTGAGGCTCCAGTACTTTGGCCACCTCATGAGAAGAGAAGACTCCCTAGAGAAGACACTGATGCTGGGAAAGATGGAGGGCACAAGGAGAAGGTGGCGACAGAGGACGAGATGGTTGGATAGTGTTTTCGAGGTTACCAGCATGAGTTTGACCAAACTGCGGGAGGTAGTGGAGGACAGAGGTGCCTGGCGTGCTCTGGTCCATGGGGTCACGAAGAGTCGGACACGACTAAACGACTAAACAACAACAACATTTTATCTGAGAGAGTGAAGTTGGTATTGCTCCATCTCTTCAGGTCTTTGTTAATTTGTTGCCATAGGGGTTTATAATTGTTGAGGTTTCTGGTTATTTGTACCCCTAGGTATTTGAACTTGGTGTGGCAGAGTTTTTTCTTTGTGATATTGGTGAATTCTTTTTGGATATGGGGGAGGGGAGTGTTGAAGCACATAGCCTCAGATTTTGCAAAGTTTACTTCTAGGCCCGATACCATTGAAAATGTGTTGGGTTCTTTGGTTAAGGTAGTTGCTGTGGGGGTGGGTCTAGTGTCATGACCATCAGGTCATCTGAAAAGAGCCCTAATTTATAGGTTTTGCCTTTTATTTCCACTCCCTTGATGTCAGGGACTGCCCGGGTTAGGATTGCTAGGGGTTCCAGGGCCAGAATGAATAGGAAGGGAAACACTGAGCATCCTTGTTTTGTGCCTCTTTGGAGTGCTAGGATATTAGAGTCCATGTTGTTAATTCTGCATTTTGTGGAGGCTTGCGAATATATTTGTCAGAGGGTTTGTAGGAAGTTAGGGCCAAACTTTATGTTGGCTAGTACTGCTTATAGGTAGTTCCATTCTAAGCAATCAAAGGAATTCCCCTGTGGCCTCCCTGACACAATCATGTGGCCTCCCTGATACAATCATGGAAAGTACAAATGCATCAGTATTGCTTTTTATTGCAGAGTTTCATGAATGCCCAGAAGGGAATGTGGACACCTCTAAACCACAGGGTTTTCTGCCAATGGGAGCATGCCCCATGAAGTGGGGGTTGTGAGGTGGGCATGTGGGATGGAACTGAATGTGTGGTGCATTGGTTCTACTTTAGAAGCTAGACCAGCTTTAGAAGCTAATTTGGAACTCCAAAACTAAGGAATTCAGATGGGAAGAATTTTGAGAACATCCCATAAGAAACATTGGGTTCTCTTCCAGCCCACCCACTGAATTTCTTTCCGTTGCTATTTCTTTGGCTTGATCTGCCCCTCTTCCCAAATTTTTTGTTCAGCTGGCAGAATTTCTAAAATTAATTCAGCTTGCCTTTTGCTAAAACCTTTACATATTTCCTTCTATGCATTGGCAACACAATTGTTATGCATAAAGGTGTGGGGTGTGGGTGTTGTTAATGTAGTCCTGATGCAACCACAAAAAATAAATGTTTTAAAGTGTTGGTCCATTGTGCTGTTTTGTTTGTTTGTTACCTTTACATCCTGTGTTTCCTCTAAGGAGCTTACAATGTCTTCCATTGCTCTCCCTCTCCTCATTTCATCCCCACAACACCCTTGTGAGGTAGGTTAGGTTGAAAGACAA